CGACGGGCCCAGGACAGGGCATGAGAAACGATGCGGTCGACGGCAGGTGATGACAAAGACTTGGTACGAATGGTGGTCAGCTTCTCTTGAAGTGTGGTTTGGTAATGGTCGATCAGGACCTGCGTAACCTTACAGAGCCATGTCCGATTGAGGGATCTAATATTCGCGTCGACAGCTGATGTTTTCATTGCTGGACGGATAAAACTGTCCAACTCAGAGACTTTGCGTTTGAAGGTAAACGCTGGTTGGCCTTGCTGTTGAAGGGTAAGGATTGCCAAATGATGGAGGCACTGCAAAACTTGGAAGAACACCTTCACAAAGGGTTCAGCTTGGTGACCAGTTCATCAAAAGAGTTGCCAGTATTGAAATACAGCCGTCCTGGTTTACCCTGGATGAAAACCTCATGGAAATCTCGATGACCAAAATCCAAGATGGCGTAGTTGGAACCTCCATGATGGAAGTAGTATTTCTGACTGCTGTAGAAAGTTGGTTGTGGGAAGTATGTGGTGAAGTAGTCCCCTCCGGAATGCCGTAAATCTGTTACAAACGTTACGATATCACTTTTGTTTCTGCCAATTCCTGAAGCAAAAATGATCTTTTTTATGGAGTGGAGTTTTACGTCTTAAGAAGCGTTAGATGACACTTAACCAACCTTACGTTCGTAAGATCTATGATTGTCTTGGCATTGATTTAAAAAAAAAATAACAACTTAGGCTCATGTGTCCGGCCAGCGGGTCCTCTGGGAACTTCTCAGCGATGGTATTACATGGATAGCAACTTGGGTTCCTAGGGATCCTATCAGCTGAGCCTCGGTCAAATCCCTTATCAATGGTATTACAAGGAAAGCCACTTAGGTTCCTAAGGGTCCTACCAGCTGGTCCTTGGTGGAAAACCTCTATCCCCTTTCCCATCGCCAGTTCAGATACCTGCAAACCAAGTCTATTGGCTACAGTGATCTTTCTTACCCTGCTCCCTAGTCCAGATGGGATATTGTAGTCCTCTGAGATTAAGGTAAGAATATTGTTCCCCACCACCATAAATAGCATCATCAGGTTGAGCTGCGATTTGAACCCAGAGTCGATCATACTGGTCTCCCAGATCACTGATGTCTACAGTTAGTGGATGACCTTCTTCTGATCCCAAATGAACTGATACCTACAAAGAAAAATTCACCTTATAGCATTATAACATTATAGTACGCGA